GTAGCCAAAGTCAGTGTTGTCTGAGGGCACAGGAGAGAAGGGCTGTGGCCTGTAGAAGCAGATGTGCAGTAGAAGCAGTGTTGTGTTGCTGTTATGAGGTTTCAAAGGCAGTGTTACATAGAAAAAAGGAAACAATCTTGCAAGTCACAGCCTCTGAGCTCTGTCCCCAAACTGTCTCTGTGACCTCAAACAAGCATTTTGTCCCTTCTGTACCCCAGTGATCACCATCTGCAAGACAGAGGTGACAACATCTGCACTGCATGGGATGCTGAGGCTACTAACAAGGGGCTGGAGATTCTAAAGTAAAGCAGCATTAACCAACCTCCAGTGCAGAGCTTGAACTGTCCTTCCCAAGTGCCTACAGCTGTGAGTGCACAGTTTGGCACTGTGGGCCCCACTCCTGTCTGGGTTCAGCCTAACAAGGGTGAGCACAGAGCAAAGATCTCTGCCCACTCACCCACCATGATCTGTTGTGCCACGTGCTGGCCTGGACCTGTATGAGATAACACAGCTGGAGGGAGCAAAGCCACAGGCAATTCCTGACCATGCCCCAGCCAGCCTGGATGCCCCACTGCAATGTCACTGCTCACGTGCCCAGCACCCAGAGGGGACAGCTGCCTCCTCATTCACTAGCTTGGAGGGGATGCACGTGTCTGGAATGTGAGCTTCTTAAAACATCCTGGGCCCTCCACTTCGTTGTGAAATCTCATTTATTCCCAGAGACACACATTTGTACCCGATTGAGCAAATCACAGAGACTGAGCAAAAATGCCATGGCTTTGAATCCAATACTTTCCCCCTCCCTGGGAGCTGTGCTTGCCTCACACAAAGGAGCTTTCCTTGGAGAGCCTCTCCACGTGCCCCTGGGATCTGCCACGGGGAAGAGGTGAGCCCAGCAAGGGAGAGCAGAAACAGTGTTATAATCAGACTCTCCACTTTATTTTAGAAACATCCCGCAGAGATGGCGACCTCCTGTCACCTTCCTTGTGGGAAAAGCTAGCTTGAAGTGTTGAGCTCAGCTATTTATATCACTGCTGATAGTCTTGCCTGTCTTCTGAAGAGGGGAAAACTTTCTTCCTAGCCACCCCCAGGGAAATAAACTCATATAAAGTTGATTGCACAGGAACAGCCCTCCTGGCTCTCTGGTGTGGATTTGCTAGCTGTTCATCAGAGCCCTGGCTAACTCCAACCAGAATGAGCGAGCAGCAGTGATGTGAAATGCTCTCATGTCCTTCAGAGCACGTGGCATCACCAAGAGGATGGGCAAAACTGCTCAGAGGGCAACAGACACTTCCCCTCCCGCAGATAAAGGTAGTGCAAAAAAGGAATGGCAGAGAGCAGCCCGTGGCTGGTGAGCCAGCCTGGCATGCTAGCAGGTGCTGCCCTCACTGGGGTATTTTTATCGTGGAATTTGGCAGTCACAAGGCAGCCTGGAGCTGAGCAGACTCCATGCTTGGCCTGAGGGGTGATGCTCAGTTTACCTCAGCTTCAGTGGTGCTGCAGGTGATGACTGAGCTGGGCTGGCCACGGTGCTGGGTTAGTGCCAAGCTGCCCTGGTCTGTGTCACACACGCTTCTCCCAGTGCCAGGGTCCCGTGACGGCGCCCAGCTCCCGTGGGGACCCAGCAAAAACCTGCCAGCAAAAAGCATGGAAAGGAGCAGCACAGGCCATGGCTGCTCGTGAATATGCATGACCCTGCTGCCAAGACTGCCTTCCACCAGGTGCTGAGACCCCACAAAAATACCCAGAGGTGTTTTTTGCCCAGTTACACCAGAGTGAGATGAGATTTGTCCAACTGAGCCCAAACTAGGAATATAAAAGACTGCAGATGCTCAGACGCTGAGAGGTCAAAGCATGTGAGGGCAACAGTAGTCTGGGACTGAGGAAAAAGAGCTATATGGAAAATTCCCAAGAATAGTAAAGCTATGAGGAGAAAGGCTAGGTCAGGGGCAGCTCTGCATAGCCAGGAAAAGCTGTCAGGAGGTGACAATCCTTCTTTTCTTGCTGGCAGCAGAGAACTAGATGCTCTCAAAGACCCTTGGTCTGGCGCTGCAAAAATAGCTCGCTAGTAAGTATCAAATGTCCAAGCCAAAAATGCTGCTCTAGGAGGGAAACTCCTCTTGGTTTCCAAAATCTGTTCCCCTGTGGCCAACTACGCCCTTGCAGGAGCCACCTCAGCTCTCTATGGGGCTGTAGCAGGATGATCTGGAGGCATCTCTGGGCAGTCCCTTCTTGAGACAGTCTGTGCAGGGGAGGGCAGAGGAAATGTCCCTACTTTCTAGCCTAAGCCTCATGACTACCAGCCTCAGATCCTTCTGATTTACAGCTTCTTGAAATATTCTGTGCATGTGTGAGACAGGTAAATTGCTGTTCTGCTTGCATCCCTTAGCATTTTTTATTTCTGGATTCCTCTTGCACTTATGTTTGCTTTACTTTGTGTCCTGCACATCCTGATTTTTACAATTTGCAAGTGTCTAGGCTTAGTAGCCATCCCTGGGGAAAGCAAGCTGTTATAAAACCCCAAACAACCTGCACACAGTAGAATGGATGGGAAGAGGGCCTCAGTTTGTGATTGTACTTCCCTGTGGCAGTAAGTAAAAACAGCCTTTGCACAGCCAGGGAGAACTGTGTTCATATTTACAGAGCCAAGCAAGGTGAAACAAGAAAAGGCATGTGTAAACAACATAAACTCACCTGGAAAAGTGCTGCCTTGCAAGGAATATTCCCCACATACAGCTGTGCTACAGCACAGTGATGTTGGACACAGTAACACTGAGCTGTAGGCAGCTGGTTGCCTTCTCTGCACTCTGGGGGAAAAAAAGCAAACACGCTGATCTCAGTGCCACAGTCTGTAAATATTTCCCATCACTGATTTATCTGCCTGTGTTTAATCCCCTGGTGCTCCTGGAATGAAGCCATATGCTAATTTCTCCAGAATGCAGTAACTGCACCAAAGCCATTTCAGAAGGTAAGACAGACCCACACATTCACCAGCTTCCACCAGTGCAAACGAGAGGAGTCAGAAAGACCAGCTGATTTTCTGTGTTACTGCTCCTCCAGCTCTGGGCTGGCTGCAGACCAAAGCTTCTGCATATGCCAAGCAGCCACCAGGATCTCCATCAGCATGATTGCAGCATGCCTGCCAGGGCAGGAAAGAGCCAAACCCCATCCTTTGCTTCCTGTATGTCCTTTCTCCCTGCTCACATGGCTTCTGACAGGTAGTGGGGTAGCAAGGGGCCACTGCCCTGTCTCCTTTCCTGAGCAACCCTCACCTTCCCCAGGGCAGCCCTCAGCAGCACCAGGAACTTGAACATTCAACTTTTGATCTTTGTCCCATCCATCCTTGCAGCTGGACACAGCACAGGAACAAAGCATGGGATGAATTATGGCGTGTGCTGCTACATTAAATTATATCATTCACATAACTAGAGGAGGGGATATTTTTCCCTCAACGAGTGTATTTGTTCTCCAGCTTTTGCTCACAGGAAATCTACACAATATTGCTACAGTAAATTTTCAGCTTTTAACAGTGTCTGCTCTCCACAAATGTTCTTTGCACTATAAAAATAATTGGCTCCTAAAGACAGGACAAGGAATAATAAAGGAGAGTTAACAATTTGGTCCCTGTGGCTTTGGGATTTACCTTGACTAGTGCTTTTAATATTTCATTATGATGATTATTTTTACATTAACTTATTAAAATGCTATTTTCCAAAAGAATGACTGTGGGAGGACATTAGCTCCAAGGTAATAGTGCATACTTTATAGCACCCAGCCCTTAACTCTCACCAGGGAGAGCTTTGCAGTGCCCTGGCAAGGTAAGTATGGTGAGCGTAACTGGATCAAATGATTGCTCAAGCACTCCCACAGAGCCCCACAAAAGATGGACTAAACCCACAGCTCTCTTTTTATCCATCAGGTTAAGTGATTTGGCCAGAAACAGTCAGCCAGAGTCAGAAACAAGACTGAAACAGGCTCTCCTTCATTTCCACTTTGCAATCCTACTCCCAGTCCAGCAAACCTTTCCTGTCATCAGACCACCTACCAACAGCACTTCCCAGGAGTGCTGGTCCTTGGGAGGCACTTCAAAGGAGGCATTTTTCTTTGTGTCTTTCACTTGAACTGTGAAAGTTTCCTCATAATTTAAGAAAAGCAGAAGGAGCAAGACTCACCATTTAGATTTTGCAGCAGTTCCCTCTCAGAGAGGCATGACAAGGTGGCAGCAGATTAGGTTTCCAGAACTGGCACAGCCCACCAAAGTCTTTACACTCCCCTAAACATTTGCAGCTTGTAAATGAAACACTTACAACTGAAAACACTGCAAAACCAAAGCAAAACCTACAGACAGGGAGCAGGTGGGCAACAGAGAGATTTTCTCTGTGCTTCAGTGGTGGCACTGAGCTCATAAAGGAAACCCAGAGCTGCACACACTTCACACCCCAGTTGTTGGTGCAGGTATTACACAAAGGCAACATCTGACAGTGCCACTGCTCAGGCCAGGCTGTAGATTCCACTCTTATCTCCCAGGGGATCAGCCCACTAAGGATTTCCCAGAGTGCAGTCTACAGACAGATGAATGCTGCTTTAATGTCCCAGTCCACAGAGGATGCAATATGCAGATCACAGTGAAAGGACTTTCTGAATCAAAAATAAATCTGGCTCACCCTCACAGTTTTGGGAACTCATTTAGCAGGCTGTGGATGAGTTCTATAAAAAAAAAGATCACTTTTTGTTTCAGTAGCTGAATTTAAAAAGAAAAGAAATCCCAAGAACAACACAAGGTTTCCAGCGGATGTGAAATACAGTTTTCAGCAAACCAGACCTCATTCATTTCAGGGCACATGAAAACATTTCCTCTGACACAAAACAAAAAAACCCATTTCACTCCATCCATTACCAGCCGGGCATTTCCTAACTCTCCTTAGAACCACTCTCTGTTCTCTCCCAACAGAGGCTTGCGCTCAGCTCTCAAGACTTCTCACCCCTCCTGGTGAGCAGCAATGGGGGAGTGGAGTTTCCTGGGAGACTTCCTCGAGAAGGTCCACAAACACTCCACGGTGGTGGGGAAGGTCTGGCTGACCGTGCTCTTCATCTTCCGGATGCTGGTGCTGGGAACGGCAGCGGAGTCCTCCTGGGGGGACGAGCAGTCTGACTTCATGTGCGACACGCAGCAGCCCGGCTGTGAGAATGTCTGCTACGACAAGGCCTTCCCCATCTCCCACGTGCGCTTCTGGGTCCTGCAGATCATCTTCGTCTCCACCCCGTCCCTGGTGTACATGGGCCACGCCATGCACACGGTGCGCATGGAGGAGAAGAGGAAGATGAAGGAGGCAGAAATGGAGGCCCGAGAGAACAAAAATGGCGGTGACACGTACTACCAGCAGAAATGCTCCGTGGCAGAGAAGGAGACTAAGCTGTCTGGCTGGGATGAAGCAGGAGGCCAAATCATACTCAGGGGCAGCCTGCTGAACACCTATGTGTACAGCATTTTGATCCGGACCGCCATGGAAGTGGCCTTCATTGTGGGGCAGTATGTCCTGTACGGGATCTTCCTGGAGACCCTGTACATCTGCCAGCGGGCACCGTGCCCCCACCCTGTCAACTGCTACGTGTCCCGCCCCACGGAGAAGAACGTCTTCATCGTCTTCATGCTGGCTGTGGCAGTGCTCTCCCTCTTCCTCAGCCTGGCCGAGCTGTACCACCTGGGCTGGAAGAAAGCCAAAGAGAGGTGCTCCCGCTCTTACAAAGCCAGCCCCAGCACAGCCCCCGGCAGGCTGGAGTCTGCCCCACAGGCGGAGAGGGCACAGATGTACACCCCGCCCCCGGATTTTAACCAGTGCCTGTCGAGTCCCAACGGGAAGTTCATCAGCCCCTTCAGCAACAAGATGGCCTCCCAGCAGAACACCGCCAACTTCGCCACCGAGAGGGTCCACGGCCAGGAGGACGCTGCTGGGGAAGGGCCCTTCATGAAGTCCAGCTACGTGGAGAGTCCAGAGGTGGCCAGTGAGTGTGCAGCACCCGCCTTCCCCGAGAGCTACTTCAATGAGAAACGCCGGCTCAGCAAGGCCAGCCGTGCCAGCAGCAAGGCGAGGTCGGATGATTTGTCTGTGTGACCTGTCTCCAGCAGGGATGAGGAGAAGGAGCTTTCCCAGCATTCAGTAAAACTTCTGCAAAGTGGACTCCAAATTCTTGCCCCTAACCTCCCTGTTTTAATATCCTCTCTCTATCCTGTCCAGACAGCACCTCTCACAGCTCAAGGCAGGGGCAGCCACAGGCACTGAAGAGAGACATCAGTCTTGGGCTATGAAGCCCTCAGCTGTTTTTTCACCATGGGACCCACAGGGATTAGAGACTCCCCACCCTTAGGCTGGTAGAGCACAGGCCAGCAGACTCCTGCCCAGTGAGTATCCACTGTGACAGTGTATTCAACAGACTGACTGGACCTTTACATCTTCTGTGGTCTCTGTTCAACACTTGCAACATCAGCTTGGCAGTTACACTGAGCTGAAGCTTCTCTCACCTGCAGGGAGCAGAAACACACCAGTCGGCTTTCTGAAAGAGAGATTTTTCTCATCTGCTTCATTTTGGCTCTTTCTAACCCTCCCTTTCTCTACCTGAGCCCAGATATTTTATACCAGTTTACCTACACAATAAATCCTACTTGAATTTTTTGACACTGTGTATATAACAACTCTTCCCCATAAATAAGGACATCTGTGGTCCCCAGTGCACAGCTGCCTCATGTCTAACATTGGAATCCCTTCCTCATTCCTAAGTCAGCAGAGCAGACTGGCCCCAGGGAAATCACTTAGATGACCAGTTGATGAAGACTGGGTAATTTTCCCAAGATACATATGTCATCAATCCTAAGCAAGACATCCATCACCAGAAATAGAGACTCTCCTGTGAGAACAGATATCTCACGAGTATCATGTAGAAACAAAGTGGTTTTCCCCTTTTTGAAACTCATCTTTCAAGCAATCTGAATTCTGCTGAAAGGGTGCTGCCAGCTGCCCACTTGAGAGAAAAGCATCCTCTGTTTATCTGCAGAAGAGGTACGGCCTGTGTCTTCTCACCAACCTACCAAAACACTTCAGCATCCTCTGCAAGCAGAAAGAGTCCTGCTCAGGTCCTGCACATCATTCAGCTCCTGCCTGCTCTCTCAAGCTTGCCAGCCAGCACAGCTCAAGTTATTTGTCCCCACAGCAAGTGTCTGCTCTGCCCCCAGGCCATCCTCTCCACCCCATCCATCCCTAGCACACACAGTGCTAGAAATCACCCGTGGACCAGATCTTTCCACCACTGTAGCCCCTCAGAGCAGCCCCTGGGGCCCGAGGCTGCACTGTGAGTCTGGTGGGTGAGGTCTGCAGACAGCTCCCACTCCAGATACATTTCCTCAGTGCAGAGCTGACATCCCTCTGTTAAAGATCTGCTAAACAGAGCCAAGCTGCTCCCTGTTGTTTACCCTGCACTGCCCTTTCAGACACAGGCCACAGCTTCCCAACACTGGACTGCACAAGCAAATGGCCTGGGACCAGCTGATGAGGGGACTGAGCCATTCCCTCTCTCAGGGCCACTGAAAGTGAATCCCTGCTCCTGATACACAGCTTTGGTACAGCTCCCTGTACATTTAAATACACATTCACACTCAGATGGGGGAAACCATGTTTTTGTTTTTAAGTTTTTATATATTTGTATTTTTTAATCCTGAAAAGACCGTGTGTGTTTTCCTTAACATGAGATTTTAGTCAGTCGTGTCTAGGTTTCTCCTAATAAAGTTCTAACTCCATCTCTCCTTGTGGATGTTTCTCCTCTCACATGGCTGAGAATGAGCTGCTAGCAGGGCTCAGGCTGCCTGCCAGCCTCTGCTGCTCAGAGATCACAAAAATTCCCATTGCCCAGAGTGGCAGGAATGAGGGGAGGGTTTGGCCAGGGGGATAAATAATAAACATCAGGAAATGATTGATTGACTGGCTAACAGGAACCCCTCCAGCTCCCCTGCCTGCCTCTGCACTACCAAGAAAGGAGGAGCTGGTCAGGAAGAAGAGCTTCCATCCTCCTGCAAAGGCTTGCTCCCTGCATCTCCTTGCATATCCCAGCACATCTCTGTTCCCAGAGAGGACACCTATGATGTGAAGCCAACTCAGCAGGAAGAGGGAAGCAAAACCTGTCCCCCATGCATCTCATTGCTTGTCCATGAATGCATTAAGCGAGCCCTGAAGTCTTTTTAAGAGACAAGGCATTGAGAGAATCCACTGCTAACCATCTCTGCAGAGATCCTTTGGGTACTCAAATCTCTCAAGATGCATTTGCCTAGCCCAAAGAAATTCCTTTTCTTCCCTCAGTTATGTCCTTCCTCTGAAATTTATCCTTTGCTTCCCAACTTTCACAGGATCCCTCCTTCTGGCCTTGGATCCCCCTGTTCACTCAAAGGAAATGCCCTTCTTCACTTTCCCCACAGAATCTCCCATCCTGTGGGACTCTGCAGGCTGGGAAGCTGGAGACCAGTAAAGTACTGGGTCCCAGCAAGGAGCCTGAGAGGGGCCATAAAGAATGAATCCAGAATTCAATGAGGACACTGGGACAAGGACCCTTAACTGCTTTAGAAACTACAGGCACCCTTTAAGGAGCTGTGGTTTGGGGGTTTTCAGCTCAGGGGTGAGGATGCCAGCAGAGCAGCCACAGCCCCACAGTGCAGCAAGAAGGCTGCAGGATTGGTCCTGCAGACCCTGGGTTTTTAACTGGCATGTGTACAGCCCTGAGCATGCCTGTCCCCTAGGGTGCCACCTTGCTGCAAGAGACAGGCAATGGGGAAGCCGTGGAACACTTGGGCACTGAGTGACATTAAATTTAGTAAAGCCACTCAAGCATGAACACAGACCTTGTTTAATAAACTGTTTGTGGTTTAAAACCAGCAATAGCCCAAACTTTAAAAACTCTGAGCTACAGTCTCTGCTGGATGGCAAGGTAGAGCTGGAAAAAGAGGACAAGCATCTCCTCTGGTGGTCTTTGAGACCAGGGGAGTACAACCATCCCAGTTCTCTCTCATCCTAGAGATTGGATGTATCAAAGCAAATAATTTCCCTCTGCCACTCATTTCTTAATGCCTCCACAGTTCTGTCTTCTAGGTATAACAAGTGGGGGATATTTGATGGATGGATGTTTGCACTAGCTGACAGACCATAAACTTGTGATTCTTGGAACCCACTGTCAAGGCTGGCCAGGCTGTCACACCATGGTAGGAGCACATTTACTACAGGCTGACCTGTCCTTTCAGACAGACTTAGTATACATTGCTTTGGACCAGATGGATGGATAGACAATCTTGTAGTAGCAACTTGAATTACCATTACATATTAAATTCAGTCCTTGGATAGGTACTCAATCTTTAAATGGCAGCATTACGAAGACAATGCCCTGAGAGGGAGAAAAGAGGAAACATGAGAGCTTTTCATTCTGTTCTTGCCCCTCTTTTCTCCAACTCTACCTGCTGGGACTGCTCAGACTCTCAGAACTGTGAATTCTCCAGCAACAGCTGGAACCAACATTTGACAGAAATGCCAACCACAGTTATCTCCTTGGTCAGCACACCTCAAACCATTTCCTCCTCTAGCTGATGTCTGAAGGAGCCAGAAGTCAGTTCTGATCTACAGTCTTGTGCTGATCAGCTGCTGAGCCTGAGATAGGAAGACAGAGGAACGTGTTTCAACTAGCCTTTAAAGCAGAAATACTTAATCCTATAAAAGGAAAACCTATATTTAAAAATACATAGAATGCCAAAACTAATAAAGTTTAGAACTGAGACAAGGTCATGCCTCTGAGTTCTTCTCCATGAACAGCACAGTGGGACAGCAGAGCAGGCTAAGAGAAATTTGAGGGAGAGGTTTAAAAGTAATGCCTGCCTGATCTAGAGGACAAGGATCAAGCAAGTTGTTTCCTCTTCCAGAATATGTGGGCAAGACAATACTCAAGCAAATTTAGTGCTGATAAAGTTTCAGACTGTTAGAAGGGAATAGGTAAGAACATGACAGCCTGCCCAATCCCCCTTCAAACCCTTTTCCATGAAGCATCACTGAGGCCAAGGAATTAGGAAGACCCAAACCCCAAAGAACAAAAGCACTGTGTGTTCACAGGAATGAGCCCATGCTTGACTGGACTGCAAATGGCCAAAGTACAAAGAAGGCAGAGATTCAGAACTCAGAAAGTCAGCGGCGCATAGCAGAGAGCCTGACACACAGCAATGGCAGGTACTCCAGAGCAGCTTCCCTGCTGGCATTGCTGTCTCCTGGGAAGCCTGGGACTAACACAGGCACAAGGGGAACTGCTGCTCCCAGGGGAGCTCCCTTGGGATGCTCCCAGCAACCATACCAGAAGGCTCTGAGTGCCCCTGAGGGAATCCAGCACCTCCTCCCAGCAGGGGTGACAGGAGGGGATCCTGTACAGGGCTGATGGCAGGTGCTGCACACATTTGTGAATAAAGAACATTTCAGTGATTCAGGTTAGCAGGGCACCAGAGGTATGGACAGACTGAGAATGAGGATGGAGAGTGGCAGCTCTATAAGATACACTTTGTAGGGGAAAAAACTCTGACTTTGAAGTGCAAAATTAATAGCTTTGCTTTTGCCTGAAGTGTTCGTTGCTTATATGGTCTAGATGATTAAAGATCTTTCTGGAGAGCTTGGGAATTCTAATATCATACATATATAACTTTGTCATGAAAATCTGATGACAGAAAAAGAAGGAGGATCAAATGAGCTTGTAAGACTCACTGCAGCCAAATAATGCAGAAATGCTTCATTTTTCCTCCAGTGAACATTGGTTCACATTTTTAAAAATGAATTTGCTGAGGCCACATTCACATACCACCACTGGTTTCCCACAGACCTTTGAGCAATTGAATTTGACGGGCAACAGAGTTCTCAGAAAGTAAATGTCAGTCAAGGAAACCAAATTTTAAATTCATATGGGCCAATATCCACCCCAGAGGCAGCTCTCTGTTCCTTCAGCCCTCAGGAAGCACGAACAATATTGTGTAACCAATCCAGTGCTGTGTAGCCAATCACAAACCAAACAACACACTTCCACTGGAGACTTTATGCAATAAATACTCCCC